TCTTTTCTGGAATTCTGAACCCAACAGCACACACAAATGTATTCCGTTTCATATACATGTAAATAAAATCCAAATACAGAAAAAAGTTTTACATATTTATTTTTTATCCACACATATTTGTTTTCCGTTTAAAACCTCTGAACTTGCAAACACAAACCACTTTCTGTGCATTGACAGCTGTGCATTCGTGTGTGGGTATTTTGAGACTCCCCTGACGGTCAGCCGATTCGTACTTGTAATTGATCTCATCTATAGCCAATCAGATGTCTCCTTCATTCTAAGCCAATCACATGAGCGCGCCCCCACGAGGGTAGATTTCTTGCGTTCATGACACTTCATATACGCATTTTGCGCTGTCCGGTCAGCTCGCTAAACAGAGGGCGGAGCTTCAGGTGATCATGCAGAGCTGCGTGTCTCCGTCAGACTCAGCAGCTGATCTGATTTCTTCTCTCGCGTCCGGTTACACTTCACTCGCGTTTATGTCCATATCGATCAGATCCAGCTCTCCTGATCGGCCTTTATAGAGAGCACCGATCAAACTATTAAGAGTGAATATCGGCCGATGATGATCGGCGGCCAATCGATCGGAGCATCCCCAATTATTACCGGACATTTTGACCGGCAGGTTTTGAATTTACCGGTTTTTAATAAATGTTATCAGCTAAAAAACGGTAATTATCGGCTAACGGAAACCCTGCTGTACACATACTGTAAAAGGACATTTCAGACCAATGTGTATTATCTATAACCCAGCTCAGTGTTTGTGTGTTTCAGATCAACAAATTCCTAATGTATCTCTCTCTCTCTTTCTCTCAGGTGCTGGGGAGTCCGGAAAGAGCACAATAGTGAAACAGATGAGGATCCTACATGTCAATGGCTTCAATGCAGAGTAAGCACCATTTTGTAAAAAAACATCTAGCCGTTTCATTTTGGATGTCCAAACTGTTATAGTCGGAACAAAGTGATATGTATTAGTGTTCTCTCAACAGAGAAAGAACTGTGCTTTTATTTTGGATAAAAACATGGTAGACTTGTCAGACTGCCGTGCAGCAATGGAAGTTTGACCCTTGAGAGGTAAAAGCCAACGACAGTGGTGAAAAACAAGTTATGTACCTATTATGACGTGTCAATATTACAGATGTTTTGACTAAAATTGGATATTGAGGTAATCCATCTGCTGTTATCTGGCTAGCAGCTCCTTGTAAAGTAAATCTAGAAGTCAGTTTGCTTAATGAGACAATGTCATCTCACCTCAGTAAAGATAATATTTAATGCTGAATTAATTGAGAGAAATACTTATCTTCATCACGACAGGATTTGTATCTTCCAATAAACTTAATTGATGCCATGCAAAGCCTTATGGGAACTGTATTTGAGAAGAATGCTATTGACAATTGTTGTTATACCTCAGTTTGAAATAAGAGTCCATGAAGGAACAAACCCTCTGTGCAAAAATAGACTGTATCACAGTTTTCTATTTCTCTTCCATACGTTTATCTAAACTTTCTGGATATTGTTGTTCAAGAACCAATCTGCTGACCCAAGTCAAGTAAGACAAGAATGAAGGATCATTTTATTTTAGACACCCAGCTTTGCCCTTTGTTGTGTGAACTAAATGTTTTCCAGATTACAATTATTTCATTGATCTTTCTGTTTTTTATTTTCAGTACTTTAGACACACAAGTCACAATTGTTTCTTACAAGAGACTTCAATTGTGTCAGGTCTTTTTTTTTTTCTGCTTTCTGGTCTCTGAACCACATCCCTGACTTATGGCGCGCTTCCACTGCAGCGCGGAGCTCGCTTTAAGCGTGCCGAGCCGTGCGGGGCCCGTTTTTGGTTGCGTTTCCACTTGGCCTAGTACCGGCTAGCGGGTCCTAATTCAAAGTTTTTCTGGACCCATAAAATCGTGGTTCTGGGGCCAGGAACAACCAGGCTGAGTCGGGCTGAGTATGCTAAACTAGAGAGAGAATCGCTGGCAAGGGGGCTACAACTACAACAAGATGAACATGTTTGACCGTGATTTAATTGCAATACACGTTTCAAAATGATGCCGAAGTAACAACATACTGATACCGGTTAGTAAAAACCATGAATTAATGCTTTGACAAGTCTGCAGACAGACGGCAGGCGAAAAACCTTTTNGTGGTTCTAGGGCCAGGAACAACCGGGCTGAGTATGCTAAACTAGAGAGAGAATCGCTGGCAAGGGGGCTACAACTACAACAAGATGAACATATTTGACCGTGATTTAATTGCAATACACGTTTCAAAATGATGCCGAAGTAACAACATACTGATACCGGTTAGTAAAAACCATGAATTAATGCTTTGACAAGTCTGCAGACAGACGGCAGGCGAAAAACCTTTTAAAATGTGTGTTGTCTAAATGGAGATTGGCTAAGCTAACGTTGTAAATGCTCCGACCGTCCACACTCACAACAACGGCCTACAGACATAAATAAACCAGCGACTGTATTCGCCATTACACAGACAGTCTGTGGTTTGTACTTGTTTAACTTTTGTCTAGTTTCTGAACAGATATGAGGAGCTGTGAGCTCTGAGGGCTAACAGCTAACGGCTGTGTTGTTTTTCTGGGGCTCTCATTGAAGATGGCGTCACGGCTCCGCCTACACTGCGTTATATTACCCCAGTTCCTAAACTGTAATGGAAATGCGCCATAAAGTGAGCCAGTCCTAACGAGGCCTAGCCATACCGAGCGAGGCCGAGCGAGGCTGTGTAGTGGAAATAAGCCATTACATCCCTGACTTGCTGCTCTTGCAATAAGCAATGTTTTGTGTGTCATTGACTTGGCCTGTATTGGTCTGGTGGTTGTGATGGGGATGGAAGTATCGTTGCAAAGTTAGAATAGAAAATCAACACCTAAGGCAGACAAGAGCGTATGACCCAGCGCGTGACTCCACAACACTGAGCTGTGTGTGTTAATGCGTGTGTTTAAGTGTGTGCTCAGGTGGATGGGTGTCCTCAAAAAGAAGTTATAGCATCATAACGGTTTAATCTGTGACATAGCATGGATTATCCGGCAGATTTTTTTGTCATCCACGCCATGTATGGCTCCTTTGTTTCCTTTATGTTGAGTAAGCTTCCATATATGATGCTCCATGTCTCACGGTTTTACTTGTATTTTCGGTCAGATGTCATCTTTTAAGTTCATTACAATAAATCACCAGTTGCTTGTAGGTCTCCACATGACGAGCATAGTAATATGTTTTAATAAGCTCAGATCCTGAGGCAGGACATACATTTACTGATGTGGGACTGAAAGAGTTCAATAATGCCTGTGATAAAAGATTTTGGGTGAATGGATTGAGTGTTGTGGTAACCTAAAGGTCAAAGTAATTGGCTTGTGACCGGAAGACTGCTGGTTCCAATTGCTGGCCTCATTTAAAAAAATGAATGAATGACTCAGCCCTCTCTCTTTTATTCTCAACTATGACTAAACTTCCCTTGGACAAGACATTCAACTGCCAGCCTCATCACTGGAGCTGTTAAGTGGTCAAAGGCTGAGGACTGCCAATGTGCAGGACCATTTCTGTATTTATGAAGAAGCTTGAAGGACCCATGGATGTAGAGGAGGTACAGAGTTAGAGGCGGGGCCCCTTTTTATGCCAAAGAAAGTAGCTGACTAATGGTGTAAAACCCTCAGATGTTCTGCATTTATGGGCTCATAGAGCAAACACAAAATTAGAAATAAGTGATTTATCTTTAAAACGATTCCATGCTTTTGTCTATGGAAATATTGATTTTAGATTCTTGAAATTGTAAGCAATTCTTACATTTTCCCTTTTTATCAACATTTGCTGGTTAAGATAAGATGTACTTTATTGATCCCAAAAACATTTTGTTGCAGCAAAATAAAAAAAACAAGGCATTTCACATAATTAGAAATTAAGAGTAGAAATAAACAATTCTAAAATATAAACCAAAAATGTATCAAAGTTACAGCTTTTCAAATGTTTTAATTTCTATATCATTATTAATTAACTTGGCTTTTATTTGATGTCCCTCTTCTATGCTGTTATGGGACTATTTGTTGAGGTTGTATAGACTAAATGGGCATGCCTACAGTTCTTCGGTTCGATTCAATTTCAATATTTTGATTTCGCAGGCAAACCCGTAAACAAACAGATTAATTAATGACACATTTGAATTATTGTGGCTTTGATTTCACACCTTGTACCCGTCAGCTGCATTTATCCACCTTAACGTATCACAAGACATCATCACTGAACCACGCTGTGTCATGTCTTCTTCCTCGCTCTAACCTCTCACAGACACACACACACACGCACACCACCATGTGATTTTTAATGACTATCAGGTTAATAATGTAAACAAGGCCTTCTCAATTTCCCATCTAACCCAATAAACTCTGTCTTAACCCTTATTTTCTCTCTACTTCTCATTCTGTTACCACTTGTCAACAAGTATAACTCAATTTGTTTATTAAACAGTAATTGTCTTGTACATTATGTTTATTTAAACATAATACATAACATGATTTTAGTGGTAATTAAATCACTCACTGCATTAATTCCTGCCTTTCTGCACCAAATTCAAGAAAAACACATTGTAAATTGTGTTTTTTTTTCTGGCATTCCCCTCTTGTCAAAGTTACAGTTTCTGCTTATTTGAGTAATAATAATCTCTTGTTTTCATATTTATTTTATTATCTGCCAGAGAGAACATTCCTTTACAGATAGCATTGCAGCCACATGGTAACTCGGCTCCTCAAAGTGTGTGTGATAGCCTACATGTGAGCACTTCTTGTTTGTTTATGTAGGCTTTACGAAGAGCCTCACATACTTGATTGTATTAGTCTGCAGGAGGCGATACTGACATGTCTTAAATTCTGCTGCTAAAATAGTTTTTTTTGTATTATTAAAGCAAATATTGGCATGGGGCAAACTATAGAGAACAATTACAATTAAGTACTTCACAATCCCAAAACCTGATGCCCTGTAAAGTAAAGTTCGAAGGAGTTGTGCAGCCTCTTGGGTAATTGGTTGAGAGAATGCACTGATCTGTGGCTGGCAGGATGGATGAAATCAAATATCACATAGGAAAAAGAAATGACATCACCTTGCTGTAATGCAGACTTAAAAACACAACACTAAAACCATATTATGGAACAAAGAGGCCCGCCTCGCCCTCTGTCGCCGACATAGATCTATTGTAAACACAATGTTGTCCTGGAAGGCTCAAGGTGAAAGATAGACTAACTGGCTCTCTGGTTGCCTTTTAATAGAAACATTTCTGTCACAGAGAGTCCAAATGTCTTGTATAAACAGCAGACAGACATCATCTCTCCACCACGCGTGCCAGCGAAGGTCTGTTTACCCTTCTCGGATCAGAAACAAACTGAATGCGGCTCAGTGTTGTGTACCATGTCACGGTGACACAGAACTCCTCTTTTGAACACCAAAACAACACTTTCTAAATAAGCCCTTTATTTGTGTACAAAAGAAGAGCATACAAACTATGTTGTGAGAGATGTCACATTTAATGTCACTCATTTGATATTTTCAGATTCATCCCATTACATCTTTATTTTGAAAATAATGTGTTTTGCTTCCTGCATTTTAACAACTATTTCCACAAATACCTTGATCTTTTTCGGTTATTTATGTGATAATAAGTGTTCTGTCATCTGTGAACAGACATAATAACAAAGATGCATATCATTATTGAATTAAAAGAACATTTCACCAGCTTTATTCATTATAAATTGCTGTAGCACCCCTTTAATACTGCTTTAGAAACCTTAACCTCAGTGATTAATATGTGTGTGATTTGCCGTGCCGCCACAAATAAATATCGTCCGCCACAAATGGATCTCATCCCAACCTTTTCTCCCAAGAGCCCCCCCAAATGACTCCTGTTGGAAGTTGCCAACACACACACACACACACACACACACACACACACACACACACACACACACACACACACACACACACACACAAGGGAGGAGACCGATCTGATCGGAGCAACTGTGACAAATAATCCAACTGAAACCGGCATGGACAATGACTGTTTTAAAAATGCGATTATCCAGACAAGCCTGGTTTGGACACTTTACGGGCAGAAGAAACATTTCTATTAAAGAAAGAATTATACATTTCTGTCTTTTTAGGCCTTTAATAGCTACTAACTTGAATTTTTATTCTAATGAATTAATCAATAATTTTTTATATTTTATTGTAATGTAGAGACAAGGCTTTTAGCGACAATCATGTGTTGCGTTAAAATTATATGTAAAAATGTGATATGACGGCCTCAAATCATCTGACGCCTGGCGCACCCCCTGCGATCTTTGGCGCCCCCCAGGTTGGGAACCACTGGTCTAATGGATAGTGAGGTGGGCTGATGATCGGAAGGTTGCGAGTTCAAATCCCGCCTGGAACACCACTACTAGTGTGCCCTTGAGTAAGGCACTTCTCCAGGGAGAATGTCCCTGTAATTGGTCATTGTAAGTCGCTTTGGAATAAGGCCTAAATTGTAAATGATATTTCTGGGAGAATAAACCCCACAGATCCTCAACTCCGGTGTGTCTCACTCATTAACAACGCAACACAGAGCAACAAGAACGTTGTCTACAGTAGCCATGAACTTGCATGTATTTTCTTATTTGAGTGGGGGGTGGATGCGTGGGTCATCCGAATAGGTTAAGGGGCCTTTGGCTTTTCTTGCCGGGGGGCTGCGGTGCGGTGCACCCACAAATAGAATCAAATTCTGTGGGAAACACTGCATACCTGTCTTTATTTAATTTTTGCATACCTTTGGTGTGACGACACTCTTCAGGCTGTGTTACTGTTGTAAATCAATAACGAGATCATCTGTTTTGTCTCCTTTTCAGAGAGAAGAAGCAGAAAATCCATGACATCAAGAATAATATTAAAGAAGCTATTGAAGTAAGTGGTGGAAAAAACAACAAAATAGCTGTATGTGCTTCCTGTCCGGCTTCTGTCTCTGTCCTCTACAGTGAAATGTACTAAATGTATTTTGTGTTTGTTTGTTTGTGTTAGACCATAGTAACAGCTATGAGCACCCTGGCACCGCCTGTGCAGTTGGCCTGCCCACAGAACCAGTATCGCATCGAATACGTCCTCAACCTCGTCACCCAGAAGAACTTTGAGTTTACATCTGTGAGTAGTACAAATATTCACAAATAAATCACACACACACTGTCAATTCACTCCAATTTTAAAGAATTTGCTTATGCTTGTAGTTTTGCAATGACTTGGAATATTTGAACAAATGTTGCAAGTTAACCCTTTTTAGTTTTTACCTCGACATATGGGCTGGATGGCTAAGTCAAAGTAAAGCTGTGGTCGATATAAAACATTAGCAACAGCTGCAGGCATCCCAGCGGTGTCTGTATCCTTAGATGATAGGAAGTAATAGTCCCAACATCCCAGGTGATAATCCCTTGACAGGGGTAGCAAACACTGAGGTTCACTAATGACCTGATGGGTAACCTCTGTGTGAGTTTAATATTCTCAATGGGACATTACTAATTGTCTGAGCCAAGAGACCAAACTCATAGTCTGGGACTCCCTGTTTATCCTCAGCCACCTGCGGGGCCGGGCTAAATTCACTCTGCATTAAGTCTCACGTAGGAATAGAACCTGTAGTTAGTTTTCTTATATATTTATTTAGTTTGAGGATTGGCTGTTTGATAGACATTCACTGTCAGAAGCCAGAGGACGGTTAGCTCAAATCCAAACCTTTGCTCTTCACCATAGGGTTTCACTAAGGGACCATCAATAAACTACAGTATTAACCGTGCTCGTGTTAGTTAAAATTACGCCAAAAAATGTGAACAGTCTGCCGCCGTGGCACAAACTAGAGACTTGCAGCAGAGCAGTTTTGCTTTCACAACCTTTATATGTTTATTTTTGCCTTTTTATTTCTACCTTTGTATGTTTATAGAGACACTTTAATCTGAGCTTGAACTGCATTTCCAGACTATGGTCATTGAGATTTTATTTTGAACTGATGTTAAAACTGTTGATAGGAAATTAATTTCAGCTGCTGTGGTTCTGCTCTCTCAGAGCTCCTAAAGGGGATTGATAGTGTCACATCTCATACCTGAGGATTCAGGCTTTCTAGTTGCTCAGTTTGATGTTTGAGCAGCAAGTGTTCCTTGAGAGAGAAAAGAAGCAGGCAGCAATAGAGGGAAAGGAAGCAAGGAAGAAAATGCATTACATCAGGAGAGGAAGAGTGAATCCATTGCATGACTGATATGAAAGAGCGCTCTGTTTGTAAACTCATGATGATGAAATCATTCTTTTTTTTACACATGAGTGACAATGCAGCTGTTAAGATTTCTCTTTGACACCCAACATGGTGTTGACATTCAATAAAGACACATTTAGTGTCAGGTGGAAGCTTAAAGCAGCTGATGCAAACAAGGAAATAGAAATGCAACAATGAACTGATTTGTCAATCATCAGAAATGTAATTGGTTGATCAACTAATAGGGATGTAACGATACCAAAAACTCACATTACGATAAAATCGCGATTAAAAAGTCCACGGTACAATATTTATCGCGATATTGAAAAATAAAGGGGGAAAAAAATGTGAATTTCTTCTTTTTTTTTACTTGCATTTCTTTTTATTTTATTAAATAATAAATCTGATTTGTACAACATTTTGGTAGGATAGTAGTATTTTTTAAAGTGTCAACAATATAATAATCAGACCCGGCAATAGAATAAATCAAGTTTCACTTTAGTTTTTCAAGCAACTCTAACTCACTCACTCAGCATCATCAAGGTTATCTTTTAGGAATATGAGCATGTCCACATTTCCAGGTAGAAGGGATGTTTGGGCGTTTACAATATCCCCTGCTGTGGAAAAAACTCTCTCGCTTGGTACTGATGTTGCTGGGACAGAGAGATATGCTTTGGCCATGGGTGACAGCAGTGGGTAAAACTGTGCATTGTCTCTGCACCACTTCAAAAACAATACAGTTTTTGCCAAGAAGGTGAGGCCTATTGACAGGGCGAGATACAAATATACTGTTAGTACTTGTCAATGTCTCGAGGTATGTACATGTAGCCCTGTAAATACGATGTCCTTTTGTGTTATCTGTTGTTTTATGTTCATGTTGTAACCTACTTGCTGCCATGTTGGACAGGTCTCCCTTGAAAAAGAGATTGATTATCTGAATGGGACCATCTGGTTAAATAAAGGTTTAAAAAGAAACAAATATTTTAAAAAAAAATGTAAGAAATCGCGGTATATTTTGTCAGTCTCACGACGGTATTGAGGCATTTATTTACCGCGATATTCAATATATCGTTACATCCCTATCGATTAAGTATTTCAGATTTTTGCAGAAAATGTCAAGTATTTCAGTTTGAGTGTGAGAATTCAAATATTTAACAACATAAACTAAACATTATTTGGAAAGAAAAATGAATTGCAAAATGTCAAATCTTCTCGATTTTTCATCTGCTTAAATGGTAAAGATTTTGCCCACATGTTTGCACACACATAGTTGTTTTAATACAGTGGAAGGTTATAATTGACATTTGGGGATCATTCACCTTCATCTTCGTTTTCACTTATGATAAACAACAAACACAAGTATTCTTTATAAAAGTTAATAAAAACGTTCTAATGAAAGATATTGATCTGAACATTTTATCAGGAAGATTAGAAGGTAAAGGGCAGCATGTAAAATCACAAATGGCTGTCCAATGCTCGAGTCTTATGCTGAGCGAGCACACAGAGAACTAATGTCCTATTCAGCAACACTTCATTAAGACACATGAGCTGTTGCAGGTTTCAAATCTGTGAGTTTTCCTCCACGGGTCGCTCTCTTTACCACTAAATAATCACTCGGCAGCCTGAGGAATTCCACTCATGCCGAGCTGTTGGGAAGCAATTATTTCTTTGCGGTTGTTGTTTGGCTTTACTTGTTTGGTTGGTTGACTTGTTTATGACTAGCGCGGCATAGTTTCCAAGTTATAAAAGAGGATGGTGAAAGTGTACTCTGCTTTTCGGTCTGCATGACTGTGTGTGTTTGTGTGTGTGTTTTCCCACTGTGGAACATGGAAGTAGCCTGTGTTTGACCAAAACGTATCTTACATGTAGGGGAAATACATGTCTAGGATACAGCAGGTGAACTGTGTGTTTTTGACAAATGCACACAATCACCGGACCCTTTCTCCCAATTAAGCAGCAAGAATAGTTGTGTTGTTCTTATGTGACTGACATTGTCTGCATTTGGTCATTCATGTGTTTCTGTTTCCTCCGCAGGAGTTTTACGAACATGCGAAGACACTGTGGCAGGACGAGGGGGTCAGGGCATGCTTCGAGAGATCCAACGAGTACCAGCTGATCGACTGTGCACAATAGTAAGTAACTACATGGTGTAGGCTGTGATGTAAGTTTGGATTAGTGGACCAAAATGAATGATACTTTTCTCATTAACTGATTCATTGTCTTGTCCTTACTTAGTTTTGTTGGTTTATTGTGGTTCACTCTGCCAGAAGTCAAACAAGGGAAGCACGCATTGGCCTTCTATGATGTTAGAGTGCTTTTGTTTGCAGCTAGCAACAGAGCAGCTGTTCTGTGTCTCGTACAGTATGGAGATTAAACCAGTTTAGCCCAATTATTTCCAAATTGAAAAGTGGTTGTGATGGGAGGTTATCTGGTATCAAAACAGAAGACTTTGGCCCAGGCAATAGAAAAAAACATATTTTATAGCATTCAAATCGAGGAGTCACACCATCCTGATTCCTGGAAACCAGATTTGACGGTGCTTCTTGTTACTGTCTATCATTCTTCTCTCTTGCCTGCACAACACAATCAAAAGGAGAAGTCATTATACAGATTTAATGTGTAATACCACAAACATGCCTGACGTTAACTGCAGACAGATTTACAGTAATATGTTGTGTATCTTTCGAGATAAACTCTTACAAGTACGCAGTTGATGTCCAATCATAAAGGTGATGATATTGCGCTTCAATCTAATGGCATCTGTAGGACAAGCTTTGTGCCCATTAGGTAACTTCAGAGATATGACTTCATGGGTACTTAGCAAATGTTGTTTTACAATACTGGTCTACAGTCAACAACCTTAATCAATTTATTTACTTTTTACGGTTTTTTCTTTCTCTCCTTTATGAACTGACAGAGGGATATTAGGTCAATGCTCAGATAGCACCAACATTAGCAACATCTTTGCCTGTCAAACAAATGTGTTTTATACCACGATGTGTTTATGAGCATGGAGATATTGCTAGAAAATACTTTGAATTCTGCCTTTTTAATTAAGCTAGCGAGTCAACTCTATAGTCACTGGTATTCATTTCAAACATTTTAAAACCTCTTTGCAGGAGCCTCTAGATCAGGGGTCACCAACTACATTTGTCCAAGGGCCAAAACTAATCCAAGAGACACTTTCCGGGGCCAGAGATTTTTATATATATTTATATATATAAATCATAATAATTTATATATATATATATATATAATTGATTAATATGTTCACTTTATTGAAATGTTTTATAAGCCTGTATCCGGGGTAATAAAACTGAAAGTAGTCCTGATTGGCAGGGAAATAAATCAACTTTTTTATTAATACCGTGTCCTGATTGGTGGGAAACGGTTGCAGGATATAAGAAAATTGTTTGCCAGGCACGCATATCTCAAATAATGTATGCGCTACGATTTCCCCACATAAACATAACAGTCTGCACTGAAACGATTTTCTCCTGTGTGATCCACTTCCTCCTTGGCGAACCGGTAACTTTCTTGTTAACCTGTTTTGGTTTAAAAACAGAATAAGTTCAGCTTTTTGGTTTTCCGTTTTGGTTTTGAGCGTGGGGCTCGAACCCGTGTAACTCGAAGTGACATGAGTGGGGGGCGTACGCACTAACCACTCCGCCAACGCCACAGTCACCCCCCCCCCCGTGCGGGCCGGATGAGAATGTCTGGCGGGGCACTGCTCTAGATTGTTTCTTCATTGAGGTACATCTGAGGTGGTCACGTTGGATACCATTTCGAATATATGCAGTTTACCTTTTATGTAATTATTTAGTGCAATCAATGAATTCTGTCTAATTTTGTTCCCAGCATGAGCATCTCTCAGCCAGTATAATCTCCAAAACCAAACCTTTGCGTCATCATATCTATATGATGCCTATGGCTTTCTTTGAAGAATGCACAAGGGCATCTTGAAAGGGATTTTAAGGCATGTAAAATAGTGGAATATTTTTCATGTAACAGCAGCAGTCTGCAGTGTTTGGGAGCAAACATGGCCGAGGCTGAGTCATCCGCAGATCAGAGGAAGTTTAGAGGAGGAGAGGTGGGGATTTGTGAGGAGGATAACGTCACTGCTCAGCTGTGGACTCAAGACTGCAGCCTCAACTGATATGTGCTAATAATCGTTAGAATATTAATTGCATTTAAATTGGTACTTTCAGATTTTGTTGGTGTTATTTGAAAGTTACCTTGAGGAGAAACTCCCCCCTGTTTCTTCCTCAGGTGGTTGAGTTGGTACAGTCCAGTCTTTTGTTCCCTCTCTGCTCTCGCTCACACATCCAGTATAAAAACTCACAGGCTCCTCCTGCTCCTGCTTTCCTTTTCCTCCTTTTCTCCATCTCCGTCCGTCTGTCTGTCTTCTTTTATTCCAGCCGCAGTAGATTGGGAGCTGATGGACTATTAATAGCGTCTGTGGTTGGGTCTCCATGGTAACCGTGCTGGAGGCCAGGGCACTGGGGAGCTATTTTTGAAATCTGCTCTGTAATGTCAGACGGACGCCATAACGCTTGCAATCTCCGTCCTCCTCTCCCTCTGTGTCTTACCTTCATCACGTGCACTCTCACATGCACTCTCTCTGTAATGCACACATCAGCATGTCTCTGACCAGCCTTGGATGTTTTTACAGGTGAAATGGCCAATAAAGCTTATATTAAAGAGAGTTCATCCATCACTGGACATAAAGACAGTCTGACAGAAGAGACATCTCTGGGATGTCTACAGTCAAATCAAACTGTAACCATCTTTATGTAATCCGCAACTTCCTGTTCCTTTCTGATCGGTTTTATTTTACATCGACAGATCATGTAAAGTTCAGAGACAGTTTTTACGAGAGGAAATGGTGTGAGCATTAAATATTCTCATCCACATTAAATATCGTACATAGAAAGCAGCCTTACAGGAATTATCGAATAGAATTCAGCATGATTTCTTTTTTAGCAGACTATTTAGTAAAGCGTTGTCGCTATTTCTCCAGATTTGTGCAAAGGCAAGCTTAAAGAGCACTAAAGGACATACTTAATGTTCTGTTGGGGTTACAAAGAGGTTAACACGCAGATAATGATTTCACTTGATACTGAATGTGGAGCTTTAGCAAACCTGTGCAAATCTTTAACAATGAACCCACACTCGGATCAGCATTATTCTCTCCCTAACATTATTTTATTTCTTCTTCTTTCCTCTCAGCTTTCTAGACAAGATTGAGATTGTGAAACAGAATGACTACACTCCGACAGATCAGGTGAGTGAAACATTTAAATGACCTACATTTAATTTTGCATGTATATTTTCATACACAGGAAATGGGTTGAAAGTGTGGTCTACATCATCCCTTATAACCTTTTCTCAAATGTAATAGTACACACCCATGTTTCAGTTGAGTCTTGATCTGATTAGTGCATTTTTTTCAAGTGCATTTTTAATTTATTTTCCAAATCAACAATATTTGTCGTTTGCAAAGCCTATGAGTGGGGGCAGAAAATAAAAACACATTGCGTCCCAGTTTCTCCAGTTCTTACCCTGTTCTAGAAAATAAGTTCAACAGCAACTTGCCAAGTGTATTGCTTGCTCCATGTTTTCAGAATAATCATTCAAAATCCTGTAGGATGTCTTAATGACCTTGGAACCTTTTTATTCACAATTTTGTTTTTTCTTCAGGATTTGCTGCGGTGCAGAGTCCTGACATCGGGCATCTTTGAAACTAGATTCCAAGTGGACAAAGTTAACTTTCAGTAAGTAAAACCGTAAAGAAAAGAGCGGTGACATAAATAAATTATTCATAACTTTCTTATAAAACTGTATCATTATCAGTGTGAGAATGTAAGATGTACAGTCTCTACACATGGTGGCAGAATTTCACCTTTTAACACCTCTTGTTTGATTCCCACAGTATGTTCGATGTTGGCGGTCAAAGAGACGAGCGCCGGAAATGGATTCAGTGCTTTAACGGTAACTCGAGATTCTTTCTCTGTGTTCCTCTCACTTCACTAAGACCACGTCTTTTTTTCTTTCACTGATTCATGCGTGTGCCTCACCCTCCTCAGATGTAACGGCCATCATCTTCGTGGTGGCCAGTAGCAGTTACAACATGGTGATCAGAGAGGACAATCAGACCAACCGTTTACAGGAGGCCCTCAACCTCTTCAAGAACATCTGGAACAACAGGTGAGCACACTCAGACCTGATCTCTGCATGTGGTTTTCAGACCTGAGAGTGAAGTGAAATGGCAACGTTGCAGTGGTGGAAAAGTACCAATACCACACTATGAAAGTACTCTACATAAGTATCAAAAGTCAAAGTATGTATTCTGCTGTCAAATGGTCTCTGTTGCTATTAGTGCTCCAATTAAGGAATACTACATCCTTGAAGTGCTATCTGATTATCAGTTACTCTGCGCGTGTTACCTTGAATTCTTACATGCGCACACAATACAGAATGTGAAAACAGATTCAAGTGGCGATGAATTGAAGTAAATGGAGGCCGTGTTTATAAATCAGAAAGACTATGTTAAAACATCCAGGCTAGGTAATCAGAAGTAGAAAGACTGTCTGAGTTGGATTTAATAAACCGAGCTTAAAATATACTAGCTACATGGTGCCGAAAACCTGCAGTTACTCCCACACAGGATGGAGGAGAGGAGCCCCGCTGTGAACTATTGTAAAGTTAGGACAGATCGTCTCTGTGTCTTAATCCTTCAAAATGATGCACAGACTTCAGATTTTGTCAGTCATTTAAAAAAGAAAAATGACGGCTAAGGCGACCTATTCCAGTCACCTAGTCGAGCAAAACATATAATTGTCGGCTACTGCTATCGACGCATGTCATCTTATTTACCGATGGCAGTAAATGGGGCTAGAAGAGTAGATCACATACTTTATTTACAAGATCCAGCTAAATGTAGGCCAATACATGTTTTAGAATAGATGGAAATGAACAAGGTCTTTGACAGTGTCTCTCCCACAGACACTGTGGTCACAGATATGAATAAGTATTGAATCTAGACACTCAATGATTTATTCCAAACTTTATGTTGTATGAAATACTCTGGACTGTTTTGATTGTTTTAGGACACAGATTTAGTTTTTATGCAGTTGGGGATCAATGCAGATGCACTTTGGGATAATGAGTATTTTCTAATAAATGTAAATGTATCCGCTGACCAAGCAGTCCCCTCCTGACCCCCCGTTTGTATTTATTTAACCAACTCAGAGATATCTTCTTGTGTCTCTCTTCATACAGTTTGATGGTTCAGTGTTTGATGTTGACGTGTTTTGTTTTGTTCTCTTCAGGTGGCTGCGGACCATTTCTGTCATCTTGTTCCTAAATAAACAGGATCTGCTAGCAGAGAAGGTGCTGGCAGGGAAGTCCAAAATCGATGAATACTTTCCTGAATTTGCTCGCTACACCACACCTGACGATGGTGAGCGGTTGAACCTCTTTCAGACCCCTGTTGACCTCGGACGGCTGATACCTCCCTTATATTGTTAGCTGCACAAATATACTTTTTCCAGCTTATTTATTACAGATAAATATTTTTTTGTAAGGAATCCCCAAACTGTCTCAAAGATTCCCAACTGGAAACTGCCTTCTGAAAATCCCTAGCACATCACAATAAAATGTTTCTGAGCATGCAGAAACATCCCTGTGCTTCCAGAGGAATACACCGACACACAGCGATAGTTCCGCTCTGTCGAGTCATGTTTTTTCCTTCTCATTAAAGCAACTATGCATATACTTTCACAAGCCCTTATATGCTATTCCTTCAAAAGAAAACTAGAACTGTGAGGGATAATGCATCTACAGTCATTTTCCAGAAAAGGTCACCCTTGATGTGGAAATGACTTGCATCACATCATAATGTATACCTGCTCACCAATATATGTTGTAAGAAATGTCACTTCATTATTCTCTCTCTTCTCTTCTAGCCACACCGGAGCCAGGAGAAGATCCACGTGTTACAAGGGCAAAGTACTTCATAAGAGATGAGTTCCTGGTGAGTGCAATAGGGACAGGTTCGCTTTTGGGCTTTGTAATGTGCACACTTTAAGAGTCCTTGTAGTAATAGTTTATATTGTTGTTCAAGAAACCCAACAATAAACTGAGGGCTTTATGATGATCACTCTTCCGCCATTAGTGTCCAAATAACAAATGTATCAATCCGCAGCTGAAAATAGTCCCCAACAAACGCAGTATTCACTCCTGAATTTAGTAATGTTTGCTAAAAGCTACAGGCCCCAGCTAATTCAGGTTGTTTGTTTGTTTGTTTGTAGCCTTTATTTAACCAGGTGAAAGCCCCTTGAGATCAAAAGATCTCTTTTTCAAGGGTGACCTGCAGGACATTAGTTACACATGTAACATAAAAACAACAGAACAACAATAAGGATGACATACAACATAATGTACAGGGTACAGTTTACAAACTCTATTTACAGTGACCGGTACCATGAGTATCAAACAGCATGTCACCCAGCCAAGTTTTGAAAAAAAGGTTATTATCTTATTCTTTGATTAAACTTGTTGTGACATGTTTGTTAAATGTATCTTCAGTGGGAACATATGGGCGTGTTGTGTCAGTCTTTGACTACAGTTAACTCATATAAAATGTTGGATAATTATGGCATTACCATTAATGTGTTTAGTGCTATATATGTCTTTGCTTTATATGATCAATGTTAAAAATGTAGATTAAAGACTGCAGCTAGAGAAAACAGCTGTGTGAGTTGTAATACGCATCGTGACGTGGTTTTCCTCTTTCCATCCCCAGAGGATCAGCACAGCGAGCGGGGACGGGAGGCACTACTGTTACCCGCACTTCACCTGCGCCGTGGACACAGAAAACATCCGCCGTGTCTTCAACGACTGCCGAGACATCATCCAGCGGATGCACCTGCGGCAGTACGAGCTGTTGTGATGGGAGAAACCAACACATCGGACTATAAACAGCCCTGAGTCTCAAAACTCTCCTCTTCCACAGAAGGGTGTGAGCTCTTGTAAGGAACGGGGGCCAAAACACGCAAACAAACACACACACACACACACACACACACACACACACACACACACACACACACACACACACACACCCTGAACCCAGATCTTCCCCCTGATGCAAACTCTCACATGCAGTAGACGGCGCTATTTTGCTGGAAAGGTTTTCGGGGCTAACACATAAACAGACTTTGATCTCCACCTTCAGCCATACTCGCAGATCTAAACGACATATATCCCCACACACGTTACACACACCTTTCTAGAGAAGCCCTGAGTGGCCCCTGGACAGTATATCCTTAAGTAAAGAGGGTTTGATCCAGTTGTGAGATTTCCCTTATGTTGAGGTTGGGGTAAAAACTGAGCGACTACTTCAGTGCAACAGATGACTGTTGAATAACTGCAAATAGATCAGCTGAACACTGCATCTTACAAAAAAATAGCACTGTGCTCAGGGCTCAAATCCTTCCTATCATGTACACACATCCATGTGCAACCACAGGATCTGCTCGCACACAGAAACGTATCACACCTGCTTTTTACTGGACTGCACAACCGGGTAGGATCTGGAACCGTGCCGGTCTGCGGACGAGCTGATTTATCCGGCACAGTGCTTTGAGATTAAACTGAGCGACGAGGAGCAGCGTCGCCACAGACTAAACAAACCAAGGGTGTATTGTGATCGGGGGTTCACAAAAAACATGACATGGACTACGATGTGAATTTTTCTGATGGAGTCACGACGACAGTTCCTCGCCTTCTCCACCGAACTGTTTTGCCACCTGACTTTGCCTTGTTGGTAGTGGAGCGAAATGTAAAGAGGATACATTGAGTTTAAAAGAAAAAAGAAACAAAAAAAGACTTTAATGGAGCTTCACTAACGGAGGGCGAAAAGCATCCTTCTACAGTACAGTACCATATAAGTTAAATTGAACTCATCTTGTCATGGTTGACCCTGTTTTACTGTCTCCACAGCTGTTTCTGTCTGTGTAGACTTGTGTGCCATTGTGCCCTGTGCGCTCTCTTTCTTTATCTTTACTCTCCGCCTCTGTCGTTCTCTCCTTTTTTTCACCTGATGATTTTACGGCCTCATTTTCTCCTTTACTCTCCCTCCTCGTCCTCGCCATCACCTGCCCATCTCCATTTCTACCTTCCTGGCAGTGCACTTTTGTTTTGAAGAGAAAATAAAATATAATAATCCTGGAATATAAAAAACAACCACAACAAACAGGACACTAATTTCTTTTTCTTTTTTTTACTTTCTCTGCCATTCCTCCATCTTTCCTCTTCTCTCCTCCACCCTCCCCTACCTCTCTCTCCTTTGTATGTCTGTCTTTACATTACTGCTGAACTATTATTCTTGTACAGACTGTAAAATGTATTATTTTGTACAACTTTATTGAAAAAAATAACTTTTAGAAGATCCCTGTGCCTTGATCACGACTGTACGTGTGTAATGAGCTAAAGTGGGTGTCATACTGCGCTGTATAGCTTGGCCAATCCCCTCCTAACTCCAAGCCTCCATCTCCACTTCCTCCTCGTTTTATCTCCGTCTCTCTCCCCCCTCTCTCTATTCTCTGTCCCCCCCTCCCCCACCCTCCCTCTCTGTCCTCTCCCTCTCTCCCCACGAGGACAGAGGACAACCATTCGTAGCTTTTGTAGTTTTATTTCTCTCCCTTACCCTCTCATTCTCTCTTTATGATTTAAATGTCTATTTTTGAATCCATATACCCCAAAAAGATAAATTTATGAAATGTATATGGGTTTTAAAAAAAGTATTTTATTAGAATCAAATGAACCTTGACAAATTGTACACTTGATAGTGTGCGTATTGCTATAACTTAAATCCTTTCAACTGAAGTTGTGTTCAGGTTTCTTTTGTTTTCTTTCATTGACATGGGCAAAGGACATTTTGAAGGGTTACAGAGGAGAGGACAAAACATTGCTTGATTCTACACATCGTATTCTTTTGCTTAAAAACAAATGGCAAAAAAAGAAACTGTCAGTTTATTTCTGGATGAAGGGGGTCCTCCTTCCTAGCCTTGCACAGCAGAGGTGGCCTGTACAGTATTAGCATCTCTCTCCTTTCAGTGCCCTAGTCTTCATTTAATGTGTACATCAAATATGGGTCTCTACTTTCTGAAAAGACGCTCTAAGAAATAAAGTTGTTTTTTTGGTGGAGACAGAAACAGGTCTGTGATTACACACACTCAGATACAGGCAACACTACTTTCTACTGTTCTCACTTACAATGACTTGCATTTTTTTGCAAACTTATCCCAAATTGACTTCAGGCAGAGGGGTTGTAAATCCACGCTAGAGGAAGTGAGGTTTCCTGTTCCTTTACCGGTCATTTCCTCTTAAGATAAGCAGAGTATGTATGTATTGATATGACCATGGAGGTTGTACAGGACCTCTGGTTTTGATGGTTGGATGTTAAATAACAGACATCAAAGTTTAACTGGTGGGCTTTTATTCTGAAGTGGGCTCCTCAGTCCCCGATGGTAAAAAATGTAATGATTGAAGTTCTGAAAACACAACTTCTGACACCTGACTTGATGGTTTGGCTGTGTTGCTATGACCAGTCAAAAATACATACACAAACGTTTTAAAAGGGTCATTTAAAAAAAAAAGAAGAAGATTGCAGAGATAGAGTTCAAATCGGGACAGAGGGGATGAATTGCGGCAAATGGTCCCGAGCCAGATCCGAACCCTGGTCCTCCGCTTGGGGACCTTGCCCAAGTGAAAGGGTAATTTTAACCTAAGTTTGGGCACTTCTTCAATAAAACTCTTTGAGAAGTGTTAACTCCACACCACTAAACACAGCGAGTTACTTGTAGTTTACTCACAATGTTTTTTATTTGACTTTGTGACCCTTTTTTTTGTTTACCTCCCAACAGTTTTTAACTTTTCTATTTTTGGCCATATACATGTTGGCTGTACACAGATCAAATAATTGACCTTGTTGCATTTATCTTTTGGATGTTTTTAGATAGCTATGCAACCAATACATGGAGGATAGTTGAGCTTCACTTCATTTAGTGGGACTATCCACTTCAGTTAAAATGCAGTTGATGTGGAGGTAAGTAGAACAAAATACAGAATTAGTTTTGGAGTGACTTGTTGCCTCAACTCTACAGGAAAAGATGCAATAAAAGCAGCAACCTTGCCCTGACCTTACTTTAATTTCCTATAACAAGCGGAGTATGATTGAATGAAAGGCAGCAGCAATTTCCCATATAATGAAATGACATCTGTGTATTTACTGAAAATACATTAAAAAAATATGTAACTTCTGTATTTGAATGAGGAATGTTACAGTCATGATCCTTATGATTAGGACAAACCGAGTGGGATTCTGGGAATTAATCATAAATTAGTACTTCTGTGTAAGCGTTTAAAAATAGCAAACCTTCAAAAGTGGAACTGATTTAAAACTGCACCTTTGCAGAACTCTGACTCAGCTCTTTCATTATTCATATGAGGCCTTGGGATTGTTAGCTTGTCTCTTACACTATACCTGTTAATATGTTGTTTTTTAACAAGACTCTACTTCAGCCCTCGACAGGACCTGAACCTGCTATCAACAGTGTGTTTAAACCCTGTTGAATGTTTAAATTCCACATTTGCTTAATCTGATATTTTTTTGCCATTATTTTAAAACATAAAAGGAAATTTCATGGTATTGTAAATGTCCATAGCAAAATAAAATGCAAAGTAGATACTTTGTAGGCTAATTCTAGCATTTTTTGGACCGAATTAAGCAATTTTCCCATTTGGGGTTATATTAATACTTCAGAACAGCATGTAGACCACCATGTTTGAAAATGCCTAACTGAAAGGGATTGGATTGATAAGAAAAATAATGCAAGACAAATGTAAAAGATGTTTGGCAAAAATGTAAAGAAATAGACCGTATATAATTTAGAAGAAAAAATATTTAGCAAAACAAATATGAGGCTAACGACAACAACAAATGTTTTCCAAAATTAAATAAAAACACAATCTCAGTCGGAATGTATTGCGGCCCCGGGTTATGTATACATGTTTATATTTAAATGCTAATATTCATGTTTTTATTCAAGGTGCGAACGTTTGTTTTTGCAACAGTCAAGTAACCACGTGACATCTGGTCGCAGCCCGGCCCCTCGCGTGACGTGTCCTCCTTCCTCTCTCCGTTGCTTGCTAGCTCGGTTAGCTCGTTAGCCTCCAGCAGCTGTCGGTGGCACTCAGTCAGCCAGCCAGCCAGCCAGTCAGTCCGAGTGGTGGTGCATTTGTAATCATCCTGCTCCTCCTTCCCTCCCGTAGATAGACCGTGGACGGCCGGCTTGTTTGTTTGGGAGCCAGCTGCTTCCCCTTCTCGGGCTACCTGCGGTAAAACCTCGTTGTCGTCGCCGTCAAGACAGGAAGAAGCTCTGGGACATGGCCAGAACAGAACAAGTGCTGGTGCTGGAGCCACAACACGAACTGAAATTCAGAGGTAATGCCAAGCTAGAGGGCAGGGCCGGGGGGCTAGGTAGCTAACAGGGAAGCCGTCAATGATAGCTACTGTATCGATTTCAGCATTAACCAGTTAACGGTGGCTAGAGGTTCATTAATTGTTGCTTTTGTTGTTAAATAAGACGGGTTATAGCTGGCTGTAGTGAACATTGTTTGTTGGACAGAGAAAAGGCGATGACAGGTGAAACGACACTGAGTGCGACGACGCTAAATAGCTAGCTAAGTAGCATTCCGCTAACCTAGTGCTAGCTGTCATTGCAGCGTCAGTGCAGGCCCGCCGTCCCATTTCTCTAATTCACTAATTTCCTCCCTTTGCTTTGTCTTATACTCTCTGACAACATGTGAAAAACCGTGATGTGATCTAACACTTGACATACTCCTTCATCTCGATGTGTTTGCGATCACAGGTTTGCCAAGAAGTGACTATATTCTAGCAATTTCTACGATCAGGATGTCATTGCTCAGCCTTATTACCATGCTTATTTCACAATGTTTTAAGCTAGCAAGCTGTGATTTGGAGATTTACCGTTTTACTTACTGTGCAACCTAAAGTCCTTTGCAGCTTTTACTATATCCAGGCAGAAAGATTGTGAAAATACAGACTGAGCTGGTATGCCTTGGGATAATAGCTGAGGAAATTCTCCATCTATATCCCACCTTTTTGGGTGGGATATAGATGGAGAAATGGGTCAAGTGATGGCCTAAGGAAGAGTAGCTGGTTGTTCACTGATTGATTATTGCAGAGCTTTGAATGCAAATATATCCCAGGAGAAGATTCTTACGCCCACTCACTTACTGAAGCACAGTGTATCTGAACAGAATGCACAGTGGGGTTGTTTGTCCAGCAAACAATTCAAAAAACAACAAGGTTCAGTTTTCAAAAAAGGCTGAATAATACATTAAACTTGGTCAGGTGGTGTGATGAATGATGCTGTGAGGGTGATCTAAATGCCTCACAAGCAACAAGAAAACATAGTAGTACGTTTTTGACAGTGTCAGGTTGTGTCTGAGGGCGGGGCATGAATAATACAGTAAATGCTTTTGCTGCTCATTCCACAGTTTGAATGTTTAATGTGCAAGTCCCTCACAAACACTACTCGTACACTCATCCTTGCAGACAGACACACAACATGTGTATGTACTTTATCAATCACTCAGGTTTGATTCTCACCCAGGAAACTGAACCATGCACACAAATGCCAAACAAACACCCCAACTAATAATTTCACCAACACCATTGAGTCACTGTTCTGTCTCTCTCTCTCCTCCTCAGGCCCGTTTACAGATGTCGTCACTGCTACTCTGAAGCTCACCAACCCCACAGAGAGAAATGTGTGTTTCAAAGTCAAGACAACTGCGCCTCGCAGATACTGTGTGCGCCCCAACAGTGGCATCATTGACGCGAAGAACTCCGTCAATGTTTCCGGTTCGTAAGCATTTCTTATATCTTCCCAGTCAAAGTTCAAAACCCACAGTATGGTTTCCACATCTCATTTAGAGAATCAAGAATAATGTGATTATCTGTAGTTGTTTTCAGACAATATATCTGAATGAGTGCTAGTTGTTTGTTATCAGAGAACAAAATCACTGCTTTGTAGATCGAATTGCTGAGCAGGAGGAGGCATTTATTGATAATTTCACCCGGCAGCAACACAAACAAGTTTAGGAAATGTTATCATTTTTCCTGATTGCGAGCAGAAAACTGTGTTAAAGTTAAATCAAGCCACCAGTCGGCATGTATTGTGTTTCAGCACCAAAATCAATCTTCTACCATTCGTTGCACCGATACAGCCTATTGGGGTTATTGTTGAGCAATCATCTGGAGGAATATCTGAATATTCTTTGCAGGTGATGGGTAAAATACAATACAATGCCTGCAATTTTCTTTCCTGGCCAATGATTTAAGAAAAAAGGAGAATAGGTAACAATAAAAACATATTGCATTGTCAAATT